GGAAGGCTGAGTCAACCCTGAGCCGGTGAGATTAGAACCGCTGAACTGCAGTCAGCTGAAGTAGCCTGCAGTGCTGCATTTAACCACTGCGCCACCTCGGCTCTTTAATTATGATATGACACTATCAAAGGGATACAGAGTGAGTTTGCTGGATATAGTCTGTATAAACACCCACGAAATGTGGAAACTGTGATGAAATTAGCATCTTGTCAGAGTTTATTGCAGAAAAATCAGATCCAGAACGCACACACAGGTAACTGATTCAGCTGGATTCATTAAATTCTTTATATAAATATTAATGTAATACATATTAATAAGTTAATGAATCCAGCTGAATCAGTTACCTGTGTGTGCGTTCTGGACCTGATTTTTCTGCAACAAGCTCTTGACAACATGCTAATTTCATCACAGTAAAGATAAATGTACAGTACCAATATAGGTTTTCTCCGACGTAGTAGTAGTTACAAGCAAACGCAGACAGCAGTACAACAGAGAGTAGTTTTCAGTTCAGAGTAGACTAGTTTCTACTCTGAACTCTCAGAGTCGTTTCTGTTTCCTTTTGCATAGTAGACAGCATATTAGTCTCAAGTAGAATTGAGGCTAAAATCTTTTGTAGGTACAGATGAGGTTATGGAGAAATACCGTCGTCTTTGGGGAATTTACATCAGAGTTTATGCCAGCTCCCTGAAGTACACCTGGAAGGAGATTTAAAAAAAAAAAAGACCAAGGTAAGATCCAAAGATCAGATTAAGTTTCTCTCAAAAACTACGTTATGTACATGATGTAGGCGGTCCTCCACTTACAACCACGATTGAGCCCAAAATTTCTGTTGCTAAGCCAGGCACGTTCATGACATTTCTTGCCTGCGGTTATTAAGCGAATCACTGCAGGTATCAAGTCAGTAGCCCAGTTGTTAAGTGAATCTGACTTCCCCATTGATTTTGCAAAAGGGGGTCACACTACCCCATCATCGTAAGTACATGCCAGCAGCCGAGCATCTGAATTTTGATCATGGTACAACAGTCGTAAGTGTGAAAAATAGGCATAAGTCACTTTTCCAGTGCTGTGGTAGCTTTGAATGGTCATTAAACAAACTGTTTGTAAGGCGAGGATTACCTATTACATTAATAATAGGTCGTTACCTATAAAGCCCNGAACTGCAGTCAGCTGAAGTAGCCTGCAGTGCTGCATTTAACCACTGCGCCACCTCGGCTCTATATGGAAGGTTTGAGAGGATAACGCCTTTTCTGCCGCTCTCGTTTTCATGCTCTGCCTCCCCTTCTAGAACCTGAACTATCCCGAACAGAAAGTGGTTACTGTGGGGCAGTTCAAGATCGGTCTGATCCACGGCCATCAAGTCATTCCCTGGGGCGACGTGGCCAGCCTCGCTCTCCTCCAGAGGCAGTTCGACGTCGACATCTTGATTTCGGGCCACACGCACAAGTTCGAGGCATTTGAACACGAGAACAAGTTCTACATTAACCCAGGGTCAGCCACGGGGGCCTACAACGCTTTGGAAAAGTAAGTTATACTTCTACCCTGTTCCCCCTGAAAATAAGACCTCCCCGGATAATAAGCCCAATCGGGGCTTTTGAGCACATGCGCTGAAATAAGGTTGGCTATTGCAGCAGGCCTGGGGCTGTTGACCTCACTGTTGAGGTCCAGCCCCGATTAGAACGAATGCGTGTGTTGTGCTTTTAAATCTGTCTTTTTAAAAATAATTTCTTCCTTCCTCTTCTTTTTGTAAGCCGCCCGGAGTCCTTCGGGATTGGGCGGCATATAAATACTATTAATAAATAATAAATAAGCCCCTCCCCCCTGAAAATATTGCAACACAGCAGCAGCCACGAGGTGACCACGCTCACCGCCTCCTGCACCCCCAAAACAATAAGACCCCGAAAATAAGGCCAAGCGCTTATTTCGGGGTTCCAAAGAAAATAAGACCCTGTCTTCTTTTCGGGGAAACAGGGTATTATGTGTAGACTCCCCCCAACCTAAGACTCCTGATGCCGTCAGCAAAATAATGGGTTGTTTCCCCCCACCCTTCTGTTCCTTTCACAGCAATATCGTCCCGTCCTTCGTGCTGATGGACATCCAGGCCTCCACAGTGGTCACTTACGTCTATCAGCTGATTGGGGACGACGTGAAGGTGGAAAGAATCGAGTACAAGAAATGTTAAAGCACGTGGGCACATCTCCCAACCCTTCCAGCCTTCTTTGCAATCCACACCCAGCAGTCCGCAGTGTTTGCAGCCTTGTGAGTTGGCCAGGTGGCTTCTTATGTCGTGTCGCAGGCAACTAAGTTTACAGGCCCTTCCTTCTGACAACACCTGTCTTAGTTTAGCTCAGTGCTTCTCAACCTTGGGAACTTGAAGATGTCCGGACTTCAACTCCCAGAATTCCCCAGCCAGCGAATGCTGGCTGGGGAATTCTGGGAGTTGAAGTCTGGACATNGACTTCAACTCCCAGAATTCTCCAGCCAGCAGAGCTCTGCTGGCTGGAGAATTCTGGGAGTTGAAGTCCACAAGTCTTAAAAGTTGCCAAGTTTGAGAACCACTGATCTATTCAAAGGATGGGATTCCCCACCCCTTAAAAAGTAGCTGTGTCTAATCCCTGCAACTGTCCACTTGTCCAATTGTCTCAAATTTTTGCAGCCCGTTCGTTCAAACGGTTGCACACACGGGGAAAAAAATCTGGAGCAAGTTATGTTTTTAAAATTCCTAAAAACAATTTGGATTAAGTCGCTATTTTTAACATTCCTCCCACGTAACGTGTCGCCGTCCTCGTGATTTTATCTGCAGCGAATCCAACGTTGTTGTTTTTTTAAAACGAATGCACAATTGCAACGGGATTTGCAAAGCTGCTAGAAGTTGGCAGGTGGCCTTGATTTGAAGGGCATTTCTTTTTCTCCCCTGTGCTGGAAACCTGGTTGATGCATGGCTAGAATCTTAAAACGCCTCTTCTCTCTTGTACCTAAGTTGGTGTTAGTGTTGGGCGACCTTCAGATTCCTCACCGCTGTAACAGCCTCCCAGCTAAATTCAAGAAACTGCTGGTCCCGGGCAAAATCCAGCACATTCTTTGCACGGGGAATCTCTGCACAAAGGAGAGCTATGACTATCTCAAGACTTTGGCTGGAGACGTTCACGTCGTGAGAGGAGATTTCGATGAGGTAACGATGTTTCACGAGGCTGCTGAAAACTGGGATTTCTGCCTGGGTAACTTATCAAGGGACGGGATGGCTCAGTGGCTAAGGCGCTGAGCTTGTCGATCAGAAAGGTCGGCGGTTGGAATCCCCAGTGTCGCATAACGGAGTGAGCTCCCGTGACTCGTCCCAGCTTCTGCCAACCTAGCAGTTCGAAAGCAGGTTAAAAAATGCAAGTATAAAAATAGGAGCCGCCTTTGGTGGGAAGGGAACAGCGTTCCGTGCGCCTTCGGCGTTGAGTCATGCCAGCCACATGACCACGGAGACGTCTTTGGACAGCGCTGGCTCTCCGGCTTTGAAACGGAGATGGCCACCGCTCCCTAGAGTCGGGAACGACTAGCACGTATGTGCGAAGGGAAGCTTTACCTGATTTTCCAAGCTGTTCTCTCTCCCTGAGGGGTAGCCGGCTGGGGAATTCTGGGAGTTGAAGTCTACCCATTTTTCAAGTTCCAAGGTTGAGAAAGGTTGCATTGCATGGACGGAACCAGCTAATCAGTTCCACGTGGAAGCTTATTTCATTGTGATTGAGCAAAGTCGAATTGTGCCAATCTGCCCCCCCCCCCCTCTCTTTTCTTTATGGCCAATTTGCCTCCTTTTTGGGGCTTCAGTGAATGAGGGATGTATCTGCCTGAACTACGTCCATATATTATCTTGCTTCCCAGAACGTAAGAAATGCTTTCGGCCCCTTTTGTCCAGCTAATGGCCATCTTCCTCCTGTCTTGATTCACCCACTTTTGCCACTTTGTTAGGAGGGACAGCGCCTGAAAATTCATCCCCCCGCCCCCTC